TCCACCAGTAGGTGGTGACATGTTGACATGAAGCTTCATGAACTGTGGGGATCGTTGAAGCTATTTGGCCAAAACGGTTCAACCAATCATGAGGTTTCATTTCACCATCACTATTTCAAACATAATGCGTCATGTTGCACAGCATATCCCTGTGACATCATCATCAGCTGCCTGATATAAACCTTTTAGCCGTTAGCCGCTCAGAAGCAGAAGATCTCTGGGCAGAAGGTTCAGATGGAGAAAGGTTTCTGGTTTTTATGTTTTTAAATGGAGGTGGCGGCGAGTCTGATGCCGACTGCTTCCTGTTAGAGCGGCGAGATAAGGTCCAGGGCAGGTAGCCAATCAGGCGAGCCGTCTGATGGCATATTTAAATGACAGCCGTGACCTCTGACTGACCCTCGTCATCACTGATGGAACAGGAGATTTCACGCCTTTGTTTACCGTTTATGAACATTAATAAACAGGTTTAATCTTCCTGTTGGGGGAAATATGACACCGTCAGGATGATTAACCAATGAGGCTGCTCATCCTGAGGCCTTTCAGAGCCGACAGGTCAGAGGAGGATCCTCAGCACCGATGGAGGTCCAGGATCCAGCTGCTTCCTGTCTGCAGCTGCAGACATCTTACCTGCAGCTCTGAGGCTGGATTCCTCAGCTGGAAAGCGGTGGAACCAGTCCCTGAGCTGGAGCAGAGGAATGCAGCTGATGAAGTGCAGCTGAGCCGGTGTGAAGGAGGCGGAGCTAAAGATACAAACACCAGGAACCCACCAAAATGTCCGCCTGGTTCAGAGCAGAGGACTGATGGGGGAAAACTAGCCGCCACATACCAGTCCACCCCCGTGGTAAACGGGTTCCAGCAGAGGTGTGGCACCGAACCTTCCACAGGCTGCAGTGACTCACTGCTGCTGTTTTTATCCCAATGGGAATACTGGCTTTCCAGGAAACATCCAGGGATTTACAGCCTTATAAAGCAGCACGCAGACGGCCGGCTACCAGAACCCAGAGGCAGGAAGTGGCAGCCCAGTGTGGGCCCTCTGAAGCTGAACGCAGCAGAAGAAGAAGAAGAAGAGGAGAGTGGGAGAAGGAGCAGAGCTGCAGGAGCAGCCGGCGCTGGAAGCGTGTCTGGACCTGGAGAAACCCGACCCACAGGGAGGAGCTTAGAGACCCTCGGAACCAGCTTCACACTGCATCTTCATCCTGATGTTTGGAGAACATCAAATACAAATTAACCATA